AGGTCGAGGCTGCGGTGGCCGGGAGCGGCCACTGCACTCCTGTCTGGGCAACAGAGTGAGGCTCCAACTCAAAAAAATAAAATAAAATAATAATAATAAAGTAATAAACCAGGCATGGTGGCATGTACCATCTCTACAACAAATTTTTAAAAATTATCTTAGTGTGTTGTTCATGCCTGTAGTCCCATGTACTCAAGAGACTGAGGCAGGAGGATCACCTGATACCAGGAAGTCAAGGCTGTGGTGGGCCATGATTGTGCCACTGCACTCCAGCCTGGGTGACAGAATAGGACCCAGGTTCAAAAAAAAAAAGAAATGTGTTCAGAATAATGTAAAAGAGACAGTTTTATCAACAGATAAAACACAGAAACAAAGTCTATAAATAAGTAGAATTTTTAGAGGCCTGAATTCATTAGAATTAGTTAAGCCAAGGACCTGGAATTTGGCCAAAAGATATCACTTTGCTTAATCTTGACATTTGTTCTCTTGCCTTACCTTTGATTTTTTTTTTTTTTTTTTTGAGTTGGAGTCTCACTCTGTCGCCCAGACTGGAGTGCAGTGGCACACTCCCGGGCACCACAGCCTCAACCTGCTGGGCTCCAGCGATCCTTCCGCCTCAGCCTTCCAAGTAGCTGGCACTACAGACGCGCTCTACCACGCCCAGCTAATTTTTTTGATTTATTGTAGAGATGAGGTCTCACCAAGTTGCCCAGGCAGGTGTCAAACCCACAGTCTCAGACAATCCGCTCATCTCAGCCTCCCAAAGGGCGGGATAACAGGCTGAGCCACTGAGCTCGGCTGATTTTTTTTTTTTAAGAGACGGGTTCTCACTAAGTTGCCCAGGCTGATCTCGAACCCCTGGGCTCAGGCAGTCCTCTCACCTTGGCCTCCTAAAGTGCTGGGTTTATAGGCGTGAGCCACCATTCCCAGCTCGCTTTTGATTTTTTTTTTTTTTTTTTTTAGTTGGATTCTCACTCTGTCACCTAGGCGGAGTGCCGTGGCACACTTATGGCACCCCAGCATTGACCTGCTAGGCTCCGGCAATCCTTCCGCCTCAGCCTTCCAAGTAACTGGAACCACAGGCACACGCTACCAGGCCTGGCTAATTTTTTGATTTATTGTAGAGATAAGGTCTCGCCAAGTTGCCCAGACAGGTATTGAACCCGCGGGCTCAGGCAATCCACTCACCTCAACCTCCCAAAGTGTGGGATTACAGGTGAGTCACCGAGCCTGGCTATTTTTTTGTTTTTGTTTTTTTGAGTTGGAGTCTCACTGTCGCCCAGACTGGAGTGCAGTGGCCGCTCTCGGCCACCGCAGCCTCG